ACACAAATTACACAGCATCAGCTCCAACACCACCACACAAATTACACAGCATCGATCTCCATCGAAATCTGCTAACACACGATCTCCATCGAAATCTGCCTCGAATCAGTAATCAGTAGATTTCCATGGGGCAGCGTCGCGACGCTGCTGCGACACCGACAGTAGAATAGCGCGCCGGCAGCAGCGTCGCGAAGGGAGGAGAAGGGGAGGGAGGGGGAGCCGGCAGCAGCAGCGTGGAGAGAAGTCGTCGGCACATCGTGGAGATGGATCAGGAATGAGAGAAGACAAGGGTGATTCCGTTAATTGATAATGAAATTTCACGGGGTTGAGTGTATATAAATTATTTTGTATAATATTATTATTAATATTTAATTAAATATAAAATTCTGTATCTATCTATAAAATATCTGATTTTTGAACATTAAAACTTAAAATATGATTTTTGAAGTTGGATCTTGAAAAGTAGGGATTCATATAGTTTTCACTAGAAACTATACTGTGCCAAGCTGGGCCTATACGGAAAGTGTGCGCTTGGCCGAGAGAACCCTGCTCACACTAAATCTTTAGCTATAATAATAGTAGAGTGATAATATCAGTTTCACGTTCCTTGAAAAACTGCAGTTGCTGGAGTTACTGATGCTACATGGAAGTCTCTTGTACTTGAGAGTGATTTGCCTGTTCTAGTTGAATTTTGGGCACCATGGTGCGGGCCTTGCCGTATGATGCACCCACTCATTGATAAATTGGCAAAGCAATATGCTGGGAAGCTTAATTGTTACAAGGTTAACAAAGATGATAGCCCTTCAATTGCAACCCAGTATGCAATTCGAAGCATTCCAACTGTTATCATTTTCAAGAATGGAGAGAAGAAAGGTGCAGTCATTGGTGCTGTTCCAGAATCAACATTGACAACCTCCATAGAAAAGTTCTTGTAGATTGGTTAGTACATAAATATGCTTGAAGCTTTCTCTTTTATTCGTTACTTCTATTCTTGTACATCTACCATACTCGTGTATTATCCATTGCAATGTATTTCATCTTCTCTTTAAGATAATCTTAGTTCTATAAAATTTCCATTATTGTGTGTGTAATTGGCATCAATGGTTTTTCTCTACATGGTCTGAGTTGCATGTTTCTTTTCTGGAAATATATTCACATGCATTTGAGCTCTGTAGAGCTGGAAATGTTAGCCTGAGTTGCCTTCAGCAATCTTTAGAAGTGTATCCTTTGTAACTATGGCACGTTGTGTCATAGTTGAATATAAAGCACGACCCGAAAATACTTGGAGGGATATTGATTTTTAAATCATGCTACATGTACATTTTGTTTTACATTATTTTTGATGTCACGTGTTGGCACATGATGGACAATTTTTTTTTAAAAAAGCACACTTTCTCGTCCAACATTTTTTGAATTTTTACACAATGTATAACAATATGTAATCCATGGAATGTACATTTAGCATAATTCTTGAATTTTTTTTTAATGTATAGAGAATACTTTCTCAATCCTGCTACATGAAGAGGCTCAATGACAGAATTTTAAATCGAGGGGCACGTGTCATTTGTTTATTGAACATTTAGAAGAAAAAAAGAAATGATCATGCTACATATACCAAATTTTTTTATCGAATCTTTTACCTACTACTCACAATGGAAATGAGGACCACATTGTCAAAAATTTTAAATACATGCGGACGCCGCATATTATGTGAGAAAGGGTAATTCATTACGTACAAATGGATTAACCCAAAAAGAAATGCCTCCATACAGGCGTTGCCACTCCTCAAATCCTGTCAAAATTATTCGCACTTTAATCCATTATAAACATTTTTATTGATTATTAATTATGTAGACCCGGAAGCTTCCAGATGCAGTTGATTATTCACGGACTGCATAAACTGTCCGGTTTTACATTTGTCAAAGGATTATTTTTGTGTGCACAGCACACTGTAATAAGACGGTGTGGAGTGTCTATTTTTATTTTTCTTGGTTTTGATTCGTCAACTCTGTCAATAGAATTAGTAGTAAAAGTTCTCAATAGGGTGTTTGGCTAAGCTCAAAGTTATGCTAAAAAAGTAACTTTTTAGCTCTTCTTTTGTAGGTCAATAATGATGTGTGCCAAATGACATAAAAATGTTGGAGAAAACCACTTCAATCAGGCCTTTGTTTTCATCTTCCAACGCCCATTTATTTTGATATTAATGTGCTTTAAAGTCGAGCCATCGAACAAGAAAAAACAATATATGACTAACTCTCACTAAACCAAATGGGAAAAAAAATATAAAAAAAAATAGTAGGCCGTGAAAGGAATTTACTTTCTAATTAATTTTAATAGAAGCTGCAATCAATCGCTACTTTTTAACCATTTTAATGTGGAAAACAATCAAATTTAATTAGTGGTCCACCTATAAATAAAGATTCTTTTGACAAATATATCACGTCTACGTGATAATAAACACAATAAAAAATAAAAATAATTAAAAATAGAGAAAACTCAAATTTTTAGGGCACTTTTTAGAGATCTTCGTGTTCGACTAGAATTTAAGGATTATCTCTTGTCAAGAGAGAAGAACACGGCAGAGCGTAGAAGTTAAAAANCACCTCTCACGTGTCAACAGCCATGATTTGAAGTGCAGTAAATCACGCGCTTTGGCTTTTATATATTCCAATCTAAAACCCAAAATTCTCAATCCGAATGACATTTCGTTTCATCAATTCATTCTCGTTTTTTCTGTTAGTTCATTCTTTTTCTGCTCCTAGTTCTTTCTCTCTCTAAAGAAAACCCACAAATTCTCTGTCGGATTCTCTATCGCGCTAGATTCTATTTTTATCCAGAGGTATGTTTCTTCTCTGCTTCTCATATTTGCATAAATACGGATATTTTTGAGTGATTTTATGTATTGTACTGGATTACAGGGATTTTTTTACTTGTTCAAGATCCTGGATATTGCATTTTTCTCTTTGTTTAGTTTTGGTGAATTTTGTTGCTCCAGATATTGCTAATTGATGAAAATATACGGTATAAATCTTTTGTTTCTTGTTAATGCTAATTTTTTTAACGGTTTTTCTATTTTCCTTCTTTTTAGGTGAAAATTGTGAAAGTTTGGAATTTTCAACATTTTGGCTTACTAATTTTATTTATGATTTCTTGTTTTTGCTATTTAGGAACAAAATTGGAACTTTTTATGCTGGATTGTTTTTTAAATCTCATCAGAAAAAAAACACCCTTTTAACCACAAAAGAAAAATCGAATAAAGGTTTTTAATTCTGATAAAACCAATCAAATTTCTATCAGAAGAAAAAAAAATACAATAACAGAAGAACAAAACATTGTGAAGTTTGATATTTTGGCATCTCTTATTAGTTTAATGAAATCACATTTAATTGCATTTGGTGAGGGCAAATCATTATTGAAATATTTGCCGATTCTCATATTGGGGCCCTAATGATGTTAATGATTAAAGTGTATTTGTTGATTTTTATTGATTTTACTGGTCCATTGGGTTTTGTTTGGACTCATTTAATATAGTATTGTATGTAATAGAAATGTTTCCAAACATTGCTATTGGAACTATCGACCTATGAAAAGTTGAAAACACTTAGTTATCATAATTATCGACTGTGGCATCTTTTGAAACTGACGAACATGATCATATTATTATCATCTATTAAAGTATAACTAGGATGTGGCTAGATCTTAAAGCATATATTATTGGGTTAGGAGAAACATCACCTTCAACTCAGTCTACTATCTTGTTAATCCATCCTGAAATTCTCAAGGCTGTCCCTAAAGTAATCTCCGTGAATTCTCACGGCAGTCCCTTTCCATTTTCTACTCCATATACTTTCTTTTATTCAACATATTCTAATTTTAAATTGAGATTCAGAAATTGCACGATTTGCAATTTTCTAAAAGATATATCACTTGTACTTATTGCTAGGACAGCGATCCATCTTCAGAGCAATTTCTCTTACTGAATCCTCGTAAATGTGTATGTGTATTAGAATCTGATGTGAAAACTCGTTGACTTATATCTATAACTTACAACAGTCTGTTTCTGTTTATACTCAATTTTCATGCAGTTATGCTTTTTTTTCTTTTGTGTGTGTCTTTTACTGCCATAGATATCAATATTTCATTTTTTATTAGATAAGAAAATTGAGATTCTATGAATTGATCGAATGGCTTAAATTGAGGAGTTCATGGATTTGTAAAAGGAACTCTTTAAGACGTTGACGAATTATCAAAAGCTTTGGGATTTTCAGATTTGAGTCAAATAGGAGGTCAAAGAAGTAGTAATCAAACCTTGGGTTCTGATTTTATGGCTAATACCATTACAGTTATGAGCAGACCACATATGCAAGTGTTTGAAATTATTGCAACCTTATCTTGTGAAAATGGAGAGACAAACTTAGAGCGGGACAGAGAGTATTTCTATTGGTTATTTTGCCCCATTCTTTTCGTTCATTTGGAACAGGGAAGGGACAAGTTTGGACCCATCTAATTATAATAATCTCTTGTATTTTAACTGTTAGTGAAGCCTTGCAATAATTTATTTATAGATCCAGTCTGGCATATTGACATGTCTTTATACTTCACCAAAGGATCTTGATTTTTTAATTATCCAGTGCCATAATCTATATGAAATATTTGGCTTTATTTTGTGTCATTGACTTTTACTCTCAAGATAACTTTACTAGCAAACTTTTTATTAGCAACAATACTTAAATTTCTTGCTCTCTTATGCAGTTATATGGCATTTCAACAAAACTTCAGTGCCCCTACTATGCATTTTTCATCTGAGGGAGATGTTTCACTCAAACAAAAATGCAATTCAGTGTCACCTACAGCAACAGCTTCAGAAAATGTGAACGGATGCTTTGATTGCAACATTTGTTTAGATTCAGCTCATGATCCTGTGGTTACCCTTTGTGGTCATCTGTATTGCTGGCCTTGCATTTACAAATGGCTTCAGATTCAAAACTCCTCATTAGAATCAGATGATAAACCAAAATGTCCAATTTGTAAGGCTTACATCACAACTTCTTCATTGGTTCCCCTCTATGGCCGTGGCTCATCATCAGCTGAATTCGATGGCAAGAAACACCAATTGGATCTCATCATACCCCACAGACCACCGGCTCATGGTATGAACACGTTGCTTGCTCCAAATCAGCAACTTCAACCCAATCCATTTCGGCCACAGCAGCCGTCTTTTCATCAAGCTTTTGGTAATTATGCTTCAATGACACCATCTAGCTTTGGGGAAACAACAATGACCAGTTTTTTCAATCCAACAATATATATGTTTGGTGAAATGGTTTTTTCTAGAATGTTCGGAAGCTCAGAGACGAGTTTGTTCTCGTATCCTTATCGAAATTCCTACCCCGTTACTGGAAATGGTGGCCCTCGGTTGAGAAGGCAAGAAATGCAGGTGGACAAGTCTCTTAACAGGGTATCCATTTTTCTCTTCTGCTGCTTTATTTTGTGCCTTATCCTATTTTAGGTTTCCCATTCGGCGCATTGTATTGCTGTACAGATGGTGGGACTGCTCTTACGAGCAGTCTTAGGTAGAGCGGATTCTATGTAGGTTTTTTAGAGATTTGTGAAAAATCTAATTCCTTGGGGATGATGTTTTCTTCTGTACATAATAATTCTTTCGTACTATAATATCGGAAAAACTTTCATTTGCTTGTTGTCCATACCTTGAATTTAAGAAAAAGGTCTTGAGTAATTATTTGATGATTTTTGTCCACTTTTCATTATGCTGGACATCTTTTTCTTTATCATATTCTTATCCATGTTGTACTTCACACGAGTTCTTTTATGATGCTTATTTATCACGCCTTCTTTCTTTGTGTTTTGTTATATTCTTCTTTTTGGGCCCTTCCTACTTTTGAGTGTTGGAATCATCAGATAGAACAATTGGTCACAGGCAGATAACATGTAAAGTGGTAAAAAAAAAAAAAAACTTGGCCCTCCACCAAGGCAAAGAATGCCGGTCTTAAAGTTGCAATAGTCGAGCGTGACGCACTTCGAGTTGTTCAAACTCTGCACTCTGATTTTAGTTTTGCTGTCAATGCATCTATTTGTTATATGTAAATTGTGGTTCATCATGCCTTCCTCGGGTACTGGGTGGATTGTATTCCTTTTTTGATCTCGCAGGTTCTGCGGGATCAATAATATGAGGTTCCTCGTGGTTTCAAACAGAAAAAAAAATGTGGGTCCAATGTTCCTTGGTTCACCCTGTTGGTTGATGTGCCTTGTTGGTCCTCGGAGATTACTAGGGGAGGTATTTGTGGTTTTAGGACCATTGTGAGATCACTTTAAATCTATTTTGAATGGAGTAGAACGAATTAAGAGCAAAAAATTAAAATCTAGGACGTTGCACTATCAATTCAATTCAATACTGCTACAAAATGTATCACTAGACTCATTTTGACGAGGAAAAAGAAGGTTGACAATTTGAACTCTGTTTATCCAAACTTATTTTTAAACCTTTTTTATGCTCAAAATACTATTTTGGTATTCCTTTTTTAAAAGTTTTTTATAACAAATTTTGTAACGCAATATATTATATTTCGTAAAATTATGTTATACAGTTTACCACCCAATTTCCACCATTGTAACTCACTGTATTACAAACATTTTGTCACTTATTTTCATCGTCAATACGGTTGTCGACACTACCACTAATTGTAGCATTAGGTATTACATTGGAGACGACGTAGACCACACCACTTGTAACATATATTATTACATTATCACCACCGAATCATCATTGTTGCCCCGTAATAAACACAATCGTTATCACCATCACCTTCATGCACCACCAGCAGATCTGGAACACTACAGAGCAGAGTTGCCACCAATGTGCTGCTATCTCCCAAAGACGAATTGTATTGGAATATTCGACCTGGCAACCGAACCACCAAACCGCTATCCGGTTCTAATCCCACCTATTCACCGCCTCAGCCACCATACTCCGCCACCACCTCAAACCTCAAAGATTCATGCTCCCAACTCAAATAATTCCTTTTGAGGGTTATCAAAGCTTTCTGCTACATGCAAAATTGTTACATTCATAGAATTTCTCTCAATCAAACTCCCCAAGTATCGTAGGAAAAATAATATTCTAAAATCTACTATACCCATCAATTTCTACTCTTTGAATAACCTACAAAGAGAACAAGAAAAACTAGAATGTTTGACACGTCTCCAAAGAGCACATGCAGTCAATTTATACTAAAAATTGCTTCAATTTTCAGATGCCCAAGGTGAAGAAAATAGCAAGTTTGCAATTAGCTTACCTACATAATTTTAACAATATTTTTTGGTATCTTTTGCTTCAAGGAAAGAACAATTCAACCCATACACTTAAGTTGGTGCTACATAACATTACTCTACGTAGGACAACTAAAGGTGCAAGACGTCTAGACCAATCTGATAGAAAAAGGAATCTTAAAATGAGTTTGAAATAGGCTCAAGATTTCGCAAAAGGTGCAAGATGGTCTAAACAGTGAAAAAAACGTGGCATGTCGGGCCATCAAGGCCACCGGCTGATCCAACGAATACTTCACCTTTGTGGTGGTTTAACTTAATTAAAAAAAAAAAGTATTGTAACCCTGAAAAGATGGTTCATGTGCACCTTCGCCTTTGTGGTGATTTGATTAGTAAACAAGAGTATCATAACCATGAAAACACGGTTCATGTGCACGGAGTCAAAGTTTAACAATGCTTATATTCATTGTTGAAGGTTAGCTAGGGACATCACTCCTATATCAATGCATCTGAAAATTCTGAACTATATATTAACCTAAGACACTGTCAACGTATAGAACTTTATTCACGTGCTTTACAAAAGATGTTACAGACTTTTTTTCAAACAATTTCAATAAGGCCATGTTTGATAGGGGTTGAATTCCATGGAAAATGGAAAAGTAATTCCATTTCCACCTAAAAAGCCATGTTTGATGGCTTAACTTTTCCCTAAAAAATGTTTTCCCAACCCCCCCACCACACGCCCATTTTCCTCAATTTATGGGAAATCCTTTTCCCACCATTTTGGTGGGAAAAGGAATTCCAGGTTCTGCTGGAAATCCAAAATTTCAAAAAAATTTCGGGTGAAAAATTATACCAATCAAACACACTTAATTAACAATTCCCTGGAAAACAATTTCTAGGCAATTACTTTCCCTGAAATTCATTTTCTTTCCACCTATTTTTCACATTTGCAATCAAACGGACCCTAACAGTTGTGCTATGTTAACATTCACTTTGGCATAATGGGTGACCAAATCCAAATGGCCACATGGCGGCCCCCATTGGGGGATGTGTTAACATAGCACAACTCTTTCAATAATAATCATAGTGCAAGTCCATAATCACCGACAAACCATTTCAAAAACGGATAAAAGAAGCCAATCACATGCACATGCTTTCTTAATGTCTCCGAACATATTACCAATAATTCGTACCCTTCCGTACCTTAAAGGACGTGAATAAACGCGTTTTTTTCAAATCCGTTTTCTACAATAATCACCGACAAACGCGTGGTACAGTAGTGGAGATATTCTATAAATGGACTTATGGAAAGCCCTCGTTTCAAGATTAATTCTATAGTCTTTGTTAGAAGAAAGTTTTGCTTACGAGCGAAAACAATTCATGGCAATATTGCTATTTCATTCTCCTATTTCCTTTTGGAAATGTTTTTTGATTGTTTGCATGCTTTTCGAGGGGATCAATGGCCAATCAAACCGTTGGTTCAATGCTCGTGCTACTTTTTATGGCGCAAATCAAAATCCGAGCTCTCTTGGTAAGATTTATTGAAAAATACATACTCCCGTATGGTTTAGCTAAAACGATTTTTTATTAGATTTTGATAACAGTTAATGAAATATATGGTCAAAAAGTTGATAAAAGTTGTGGATTCATAAAATGTAATATCGAAAATGAGTTCGAGAGAAAAACGAATTTTAGAAAATGTAGTTAAAACATGGGCTATAGTTTGTTAATTTTAGTACATTAATGCTGGTCGGCCAGGGTTAGTGACCGACCAGAATCCAGGACACCTCAGCCCCTGATTTGAAAAAAAGTGGCCCCACATGAATTCAAATCAAGGCCGAGGTGCATCCACCTCGGCCCCCTGGATTTGGTCCTGGATGAGCAGCATTGCTCATTTTAGTACTATCCACTGCTAACCTACGATTACATGACGCTCGTTAGTATTTAGAATGGGAAATTTAAAATATTTATGTTATACCGTGGAGTATGTATGTACTAAACATGCACTAACTGTATTTAATATTGGTGGTTCTCAGGTGGAGCTTGTGGCTATGAAAACACCTATCAAGCTGGTTTTGGAGTAAACACAGCAGCAGTGAGCACTGTACTTTTCAAAAATGGTCAGGCATGTGGTGGTTGCCACCAGGTAATGTGTAACTACAGGCTCGATCCAAAATGGTGCCTCCGCCGCCATGCAGTCGTAACCGTAACCGCAACAAACTTCTGCCCTCCGAACCACCACGGCGGCTGGTGCGATCCTCCTAATTCCCACTTCGACATGTCGATGCCCGCTTTTTTTCGCATTGCCAAACAAGGAAATGAAGGCATAGTTCCTGTACTTTATAGAAGGTGAATATAATCGTATATATCAACTCAAATTAATCTTTTTAAAATAATATGCATGTGACGAACATGTATTTTTTTTTTCCAACAAGAAGCTTATAATCTAAAAAATATTTAATCAAACATGTTATAACATTCCTGCCCCTTCCCCACCAACAAGAAGAAAAACTAAAAGTATATATTATTTGAGATTGTTCAATTGCTAAAAACACATTTAATATATAAATAAATATATTTCCTCTCATTCATATTAAGGCCATGTTTGTCTCCCATTATTTCAAAACATTGTTTGATACAGTAAGATTTTCTATCACACATTCGCCCAATAAAATATTCTACACATAAACCAATAAAGTAACTTTAAATTTCAACCACACATTCTCAAAAAAATATTATTCATTACTTCATTTCTTCTACAATAATGAAAGACAAACACGCACTAAGCTTCTAAATGTTTTGGCAACAAAAAATGTCCTTGAAAATACGTATTATGACAAAGATCTGACAGCTTAATTTCGTGTTTTTACTGAAAATGAATTCGATTTGTGAGTGAAGAGTCGTTTTGTAGATATAAATGAACAAATTCTTCTCCTCTCTCGTTAAGAATTACTGTTAAAAGTTGTATTATAATTTGTAGGGTTCCGTGCAAAAGGAGAGGAGGAGTTCGTTTCACATTGAAGGGACAATCAAATTTTAACATGATAATGATATCTAACGTTGGTGGCAGTGGTGATATATTGAATGCATGGATTAGGGGCTCTAAAACAAGAAGTTGGGTTCCCATGAACAGGAACTGGGGTGCAAATTGGCAAAGCAACATGGATCTTCGAACCCAAACGCTGTCGTTTAAGCTCAATTTAGTCGACGGCAAGACGCTCGAGTTCTTTAACGTTGTTCCTTCGTCGTGGAAATTTGGACAGACTTTTGCTTCCAAGAATCAGTTCTATTAGTTTTCACACACTGATTAACCTGCCCATGAATCACCCTTTTTTTAGGTTCATGGTGGAACTGCTTATATTTTTATTTTTATTCAGCATAATAATCTGTAACGATTTAAAATTTTCTGAAGTTCAATGGGATATGTTGTAATTTGACAAGAGGCGCAGCTTCTATAAAGATTTGAATGAATCATTCTCAAGTAAATATTGGTGTATTTCACCCAACTACGAGTAAAAAAGCCACACTTTCATGTGTCTATTTAACATCTATTCGTACAGTATTAGTCTCTTAAGTTTCTAATTGTCATGTTAATCGCTCGATAAAAATAATAATATTAAATCCTATATGACACTATTAAGTGCCATTGTGTCACCAAATGTTGTTATTTATCACACCAAATTATCAAAGATCATTATTAAAAAACAAAGTGTGAGTTTACTATACGGAGTTTGTTTGAGCCACATTTTTATTTGAGAATGTATTTTGGAATAGTAAATTAATGAAGAATGTGCGATTAAAAAATAAGGAAAAGTTTTGAATTTACATGTAATATTATTTTATTAAAAAATGTGTGGTTGAAAAGAAAGAGAAAAATATATTTTGAGAATAATAGGGATCGAACAAGTGTACGATTTAAGTACAGAAATCTAACCAATATTAAATATTCATTATATTTTCTCGTCTAAACACCAATTCTTAACTTTCCAATTTTGCCGATTTGACGTAATAATTAACGCACTATATGGTGCCGCATAAAATATAGTATTACTTTTTATGACCGAATTACTCATTGGTGTAATAGTTGAAACTTGAGTGATTATTACCATTAGAAAAAAAATTCATTGACCATTTGTGAAAATACTCAAAACTTAGTAACCTTTGACATAATTAACCATCTTTATGTTCAATAATTGCATACGTTAATACGCTATCATGAATATGGTTCGCCATGCATCACCTGCCGATACAATATGTCATGCGTCGGTTTGTAGAGCTCTATAGTCATGGTTATTCTACATCTACTACTAAAAGCCTGGAAGTTTCATGCGAATGAACAAAATTAAGGAAGAAAGACACTAATTTGAGTTGTCCCGTCCAATATCTCCATTCCTACTACCAGTAAAGAATTTGAAGAGGAGGACAAGACAAGTTCAGCAGTTGAGTGCTCAACTCCTCAAAATTGTTTTTCCTGGAAATTCTAGAATTCATGCAAGTACCAAACGTAATTCTTAAAATTTCCACTCAGCATATGACGATCAAAATGTGCGTTCCAAGAAGTACATGACTCAGATATGCAGAAAAAAGATATATTTCTATAAACTGCTTACTTTTGCCTTCTTCATTTTGCAAAAACAATATGTAGTTACCAATGACGATCAACATATATAGATGTAGCCTTTTTTCCTCGTCATTTACGAATTCGACAAAACAAAATTTCTTTCATAATTTGACAAAACAGATTGCTTCCCAAGTAAACGTCCGAATGGCAAAACTTGGTAGAAAATCCTCTATGTTTCAATCCTCATGCCTTTCAAATTTGAAAATTTAATATTTTTTAGCAAAACTTAGTTTCTCTGGATTAATCTCATCAACCCGGATTGCAACCATCTTTCCACTCTCATCCTCAGTAAATGGTATAGACTCCCGGGTCAAAAGCTTGATAATCTGCAGCAGAAACAACACAACGTTTCCAATGATCAATAAACAGCCTCAAATATCATAGATACAGTCTGCAGCAGAAACAACACAACGTTTCCAATGATCAATAAACAGCCTCAAATATCATAGATACAGTGCCAAAAATCTTGGTACTGCATCTCAGAATATTTTTCTTTCCCTTCAAAAAATAATGATGTATTACCATTGCGCCAGATATGTAACTGATGTAAAAAAGTTGCAGTTAACCCAACATACTAACCAACAACTATACATCTTGAATGAACATCAGCAACCAAACTAATAAAATTGGAAATAGTTTTGTAACAGTCTTTATATCATGATGGTAAAATATTCAATTACAGTGGTTGGGGGTAGTCTATCATCAAAATCTTGTTCAGCCAGATGAAATTTGATTAGAAAATCCATCGGATAACAACAATCCATTAGTTTTTCGATATTCATCAAAAATAGAGATGACCTACACACAAATATGATTTGGCCTTATAAATTGTTGTGTGCTTTTATACCCAGGGCAGATTGAGACCATTTTTCTTGTGGGGTCAAAAATAAAAATTAAAAAATGTTTAGGTCAAAAAAAAAAACTCAAAGAAGAAAACTCAAAAAAAAATAAAAAAAAATTGTGGGGTCATTTGACCCCATGTGGGTCCACCAGTGTTTATACCATATCTGGTAGGGAAGATTAAATAATAATAAACAACATTAAAGAAGAAAAATAAACTAAAAAGTCATGTTTTTAATAGGGTTGGACAAAAACTAGATTGAACCGAACATGACCCAAACCGAACCGACCGGTTCTTCTTAAGTTAAATACTCGACCATGTTAGGGATGGCAACGGGGCGGGTTCGGGGTGGGGCGCCCCTACCCTACCTCGCCCCGCCACTCCAACGCTTCGCCCCGCCCCGCACCCTACCCCTCCTTAGACGGGGCGGGACACGCGGCAGGACTGTTTCCTTGCCCCGTTTATTTTATTTATAATTTTTTTTTTTGCCCTAAAAAATTTCCAATTATACGGTTAAGGAAATAAATAACTCTACTTCCAAAAAACATTTGTTCATCAAATTTAAAAACATAAATCTATAACTCTACTTCCAAAAAGTATTGTTCATCATGTATTTTAGTAGAGAATACATGGATACTTTTTTTTAATGGTTCACGGGGCGGG